CAACCAGTAGCTTATCAACATTGGATTACAAAGCTACTATAGAGTAGTAGATTGAGTAAGAAGGGGTTGAAAATGTCAGGCATTGTTTTATCAGTGTACAACCAGTAGCTTATCAACATTGGATTACAAAGCTACTATAGAGTAGTAGATTGAGTAAGAAGGGGTTGAAAATGTCAGGCATTGTTTTATCAGTGTACAACCAGTAGCTTATCAACATTGGATTACAAAGCTACTATAGAGTAGTAGATTGAGTAAGAAGGGGTTGAAATTACTTTAATTTAAAAGAAACATTTGAAAATTTATTTCTTTGTGTTTGTGTGTGTAGAAAGCTGTAATTAAGATTGCCAGCTTTCAGAATAGAAATAAAAACTTTTCTAACAATAGTTGTTTTTTGTAATATAAACAGTTGATCAGTCTTTTTGTGGTTGTGTTATGGAGTTATCTGGTATATGGTTTGAAAGATGTAACACTATGCTACATAAATAAATTGATGAATTCAGTATGTGTGTGTGTTAGAAAGTTTATAAGCCAGTTAAATTTTAGAGAGAGTAGCAATTGGATAAAATGTTTGATAGTCTGTGAAAAAGACAGCTAGTTATTATACCAGCTATTTTCACTGTTTGAATTTAGTACTTAATTTTTTTGTGCGTGTTTTAAAGTTTAACTCTTTAAAACCCATAATATTTTGTTCATTCTGCCAGAATTATTTCTAAAATGTCCTAATAATTATCACATACCTTATAAAATTTCTGATATGTTTATAAAAGAGTGGATAACATCTTGGTTTGGGTTAGTTTTGAGCCGAAGAGACATAAATGTTATCAAATGCTGTGATCATTCAAAGGGTAGATCTAGATTTTTGGCCAAACATTGGCAGCGTCTGCTCGGGTTTAAGGAGTTAAGCTACTTAGAAAGAGTGAGGCTTAATGTAGACTTCATTCAAACCTGTATCATTTTGTATCTGTTATTATTATAAACATTTCTGTTTATTACGTGGTATTTTATGAAAATATTTATCAGAATTATAGTTAGATATTGTTTTTAAACATATTTTAAATATAATTCTTCTGAAGGTATTTTATTGGTATTTCTAATTTAAACAGTGAAAACAGGTGAATGTTTAGAAACTAGTAAGCTCAAAATTTGTAATAAAAATCACTTTGATCATCGGTGGGACAGCGGAAAGTCGTTGGATTTACAATGCTAAGATCAGGAGTTTGATTCCCCTTGGTGGACACAGCAGATAGCCGGATGTGGCTTTTCTATAAAAAAAACACTCCTCTTAATTTCTCCATTACGGATATAAAATCAGAGATTCGTTTCATTGTTCAACCCAACTGACGAGTTCTAGTATTGACCACAAAGCCTCTTTGGCAGCGACTTGTAGGAAATACGAGAAATGTTGAAAGAAATCTGCAATTAATATGATTTTTATCATAAATTTAGGTCTGTTAAGTTTTTTGACTATTGTAAGATCATAATGATGAATGTCTAATTTTACCAGTGTTTTTTTTTTCTCAGCCACTCCAAGAAGCCACTGGCTTATAACACCTCACGTTCAGGTTCCTTGGAGATAGGGGTTTCTATACCCTGGCCCCATTCTCTTCACTCGTCAAGCAGTGGAATGTGCCCGAAGTCTCATCCTTTTTCGTGCGAGTTACATCCCACTCAGCCTATTGCTCTGGATCTATCCATGCCAATCCTCCCACCTCCTGACACAGACACCCAGCTTTTGGAAGCTAAGCGACGACTGGAAGATGTAAAATCTAGTAAAACTAGGTATATCTTTGGAAGTATTGTTTCCCTAAGAACTTGCTTAACCTGGTTTTTGTCTTTTATGCAGCTAATGTTTGAAGAAATATGAATAGTTGTTATCAAAATAAAGTTTTTTTTGTGAAGTTGGACTTTTCTTCGATACGATTGTTAAATATATTAGTATGATAATAATCTAGAGTGGGATTTGGCAACAGATTTTTTTTATCATGCAAAATGTGTTAGTATAGCTGAATTAAAGTTATTAAAGAATTTTTAAACATAATATTAACAGAAAATAGCAACATTAAAGCCTGTTTTTCTATGTTGACTTTTGCTGTATTATAAACAGAAGAAGTGCTTCAAAAGTGAAACAAGTTGTGGCCAGGTTTCTGTAAAGAACTTGGAACCCATAGAGAAATCTGTTATAAATATCCTTGAATGCCATAGGTAGTGCTGAATGTCATGTGGGTGACAGTAGGTTTGTTAAAGATCTTATATGTGTTAACGTGTGTGACAGTAGGTTTGTTAAAGATCTTATATGTGGTAATGTGTGTGACGGTATGTTTGTTAAAGATCTTATATGTGGTAACGTGTGTGACAGTATGTTTGTTAAAGATCTTATATGTGTTAATGTGTGTGACAGTAGGTTTGTTAAAGATCTTATATGTGGTAATGTGTGTGACAGTAGGTTTGTTAAAGATCTTATATGTGTTAATGTGTATGACAGTAGGTTTGTTAAAGATCTTATATGTGTTAACGTGTGTGACAGTAGGTTTGTTAAAGATCTTATATGTGTTAACGTGTGTGACAGTATGTTTTTTAAAGATCTTATATGTGGTAACATGTGTGACAGTAGGTTTGTTAAAGATCTTATATGTGTTAATGTGTGTGACAGTAGGTTTGTTAAAGATCTTATATGTGTTAACGTGTGTGACAGTATGTTTGTTAAAGATCTTATGTGTGTTAACGTGTGTGACAGTATGAAAAATCTTTAACAAAGTGTGTCTTACAGTATGTTTATAATATATGTGTCAACATCTCTTCTGTAGCTACATTAAAAAGTGTCATTCTTTTATAGCATGCGAAAATTGAGCAAGAACACCTTGCCAGTTCTTCATGCTCATTCTTCACAAACTGCTGACATCACTGTTATTGGATACTGTTTTTCTGGGGAATCGGTGCCTTACAGGACAAAACTTCCTGGGAAAAATATTACTCTGAAGCAGTTCAAAGCTCTTGTTAGTAAAAAAGGAAATTACAGGTATGTTTTTACATGAAAATAATTAAATATCCAAATCAGATATGAGGTAGATTCACAAACTGTTTTGATTTAAAAAAGTTGATTTAAAGTAACTCCAAAGAATCACTTACAAAACTCTTTATAATCTTCAAAAAAGTAACTTAAAAAGTAGATTTAATTTTTAAAAGTAAACAGTGAATGAAGTGTTGACATTGGTCTCTGGAGACAGAAGGAATTTTAACCATTACATAGTAAAATACTGATCTAATTATAAATATTAAGTTTGTTTTAAGGCTCATATTTTGGTTTCTGTAATACTTCATATTACAGAAACCAAATTATGAGCCTTAAAACAAACTTAATATTTATAATTAGATCAGTATTTTACTATGTAATGGTTAAACACTTCATTCACTGATTATTAACATGTAGTACCTGTAATCTGAACATTTAAAATAGTTTGTAATTTAAAAATATCTTCATCTACTGTCAACTGACAAATAGCTCCTCCAAGGTTATTAAATGTTGTTAATATCAAGCACTACTGTTAACTGACAAATAGCTCTCCAAAAGTTATTAAATGTTGTTAATATCAAACACTAGTATCAACTAACAAATAATTCTCTGAAGGTTATTAAACTCTCCATAATAACACAACTTCTAGTTTACAAAACTGACTCACCTTCTAAGGTTTACGTATTAAAGTTTGGATATTCTTTCATTCAAATAACTTAACTTTTCTAAATAGAATTAACATGTAGTACCTGTAATCTGAACATTTAAAATAGTTTGTAATTTAAAAAGTTATTAAATGTTGTTAATATCAAGCTAACTCTCCAAAAACTACTGTTAACTGACAAAGTTATTAAATGTTGTTAATATCAAGCCAAATAACTCTCCAAAAGTTATTAAATGTTGTTAATATCAAGCACTACTGTTAACTGACAAATAGCTCTCCAAAATTCAGTTAACAGTAGTGCTTGATATTAACAACATTTAATAACTTTTCTTTCCCCAGATACTTCTTCAAGAAAGAATGCAATGAATTTGGTACTGGAGTGATAAATGAAGAGGTATCAGACGATAGTGAAGTTTTACCTTTGTGGGATGGAAAGATATTTGCTACCATTGAATCGGTAGATTGAAGTGGCATACACCATGTTAGAAAAACTTCTCTGAATCCAGTTCTTGCAAACCTTTGGTGGGTATTGGTGAGGAAAAGATTTTGGTTTACCCATAACTTTCAGAGGCAACTAAATGCAATAATTCGTATACCCAGTTTTATGTAAGGATTACTTGGATCTCTTAAACTGGGAAACGTCTAACAAAGTGAAGAGGTTTGAGACTTAAATCCGTATTATGTAAATTAGTAAACTTTCTCTGTTTGTAAGATAACATGTACAGTCCATTTGTAGCTATTATTATTTCTTCTTTCTATGATAACTCAAGATGATAATGTTCCTAACTCACTCTTATGTGAAGGAGGTGTAAAGCTTGGGTGTCGAATCAGCAATAACCTGGAACCTCTGCAGTTCGTTTAGTAACATATCAGGGTTGAAGATTCCATATTTGTGATGAAAGCAAGCCGTAGTGTATCGATGATTGTACAGTTTAATACTGGACTTTTTGCAAACCGTGAAATTGTCCTATACATTTTCTTACAAGTACAAATAGTATTAGTGAATTCTACTGTTTGTGTCATTTTAACATTTTCTGAGAAAGTTATTAAAAACTTAGATATATTTTGAGATGATATTATTCCAAGGTTCCACCACAGTTAGTTGTAAGGTCCACTGAAAATGAAATGTGAATTTAGTAAGTAAAAAACATTATTTATTAATTCAAAAATTGGTTACTATTTTAGTTTCAGTTTTTTAGAAAGTTAACATCAGTGATAAGTAGCATGAAAACTTTACGATTCTAAATTTGTTCACTAGTTAAATGTTTCAGCTTTTGAAGATAATGCAAACTACTCATGTTGGATAATGTTAATATAATGGGCTAGCACTGAACAGTGTATTTTAACAGTAAGCAGACTAACAGATGATGTGAATGTTTTTTTATTTATTACACCAAATGTTCAAATAGGAACCTTGTACTGTTTGGATCACCAAACGTTCAGTTAGGAACCTTGTACTGTTTGGATCACCAAACGTTCAGTTAGGAACCTTGTACTGTTTGTGTCACCAAATGTTCAGTTAAGAACCTTGTACTGTTTGGATCACCAAATGTTCAAATAGGAACCTTGTACTGTTTGGATCACCAAACGTTCAGTTAGGAACCTTGTACTGTTTGGATCACCAAACGTTCAGTTAGGAACCTTGTACTGTTTGGATCACCAAACGTTCAGTTAGGAACCCTGTACTGTTTGGGTCACCAAATATTCAGTTAGGAACCTTGTACT